TTGGCACTCTCGGCCACATGAATGAATGAACGAATGAATCAAGGTGATTCAACACATAGGTAGATTAGCCTGGGGCAGAATTTGAAACGTTTAACAGAAAGATAAAAGAGAAAGTAAGGAGGTGAGCCGGATAGATGTTCTGCAACTGATTTTGCAGTTTGGGGGATAGAAAGCAGCATGTTGAAGGACTTTGTACATGATAGTCTCTGTGTGTGAGGTGACAATGAGTATGGAGGTGGAGGTAGAGGTGGAATTGGAGTCGGGACTGAAGAAGCTAGTAAAAGGCCGGGTGCCATGGTTTACGCCTGTAATCCCAGTACTTGGGAGGCCTGAGTGTGGGTGGATTGCCTGAGCTCAGGGTTTGAGACCAGCCTGAGCAAAAGCAAGACACCCCCATCTCTAAAAAATAGCCGGGCATTGTGGCAGGTACCTGTAGTCCCAGCTACTTGGGAGGCTGAGGAAAGAGGATTGCTTGAACCCAAGAGTTTGAGGTTGCTGTGAGCTAAGACATCACGTCTACCAGGGGTGATTGAGACTCTGTCTCAAAAAAAAAAAAAAAAAAATGCTCAAGTGGCTAAGGTGCCAGCCACATACACCAGAGCTGTTGGGTTCAAATCCAACCCGGGCTTGACAAACAATGACAACTACAACCAAAAAATAGCCAGGTGTTGTGGTAGGCACCTATAGTCCCAGCTACTTGGGAGGATGAGGCAAGAGAATCGTTTGAGCCCAAGAGTTTGAGGTTGCTGTGAGCTGTGACGCCACAGCACTCTGCCCAGGGCAACAGCTTGAGGCTCTGTCTAAAAAAAAAAAAGGCTCAGTGTCTATAGCTCAGCAGCTAGGGTGCCAGCCACATACACCAGAGCTGGTGGGTTCAAATCCAGCCTGGGCCTGCTAAACAACAATAACAACTACAACCAAAAAATAGCCAGGTGTTGTGGTAGATACCTGTAGTCCCAGCTACTTGGGAGGCTGAAGCAAGAGAATCGCTTAAGCCCTAGTGTTTGAGGTTGCTGTGAGCTGTGACGACAGCACTCTACCCAAGGTGACATAGTGAGACCCTATCTCAAAAAAAAAAAAAAAGGAAGAGGCTAGTAAGGGTTTGAAAGACCCATTGAACATTGAAGGGGATATTTAAAAAAGAAGAGCTGTTTAGGGATGTTTAAGGAATATGGAGGGATTAATGTGGGGGGACGAAACTACAAAATTTTTAGTGGCTCTAATTCATAATCTCGTCTTCCATTACACCCCTACATCCCTCTGCTGCCTGTGGGCAGATGATTTGTACCAAGGAAAAGGAATGGTATAAAACTTCTTTTTTGAGATCTTTGCAAAGTCAAATCAAGTAGACAACGCTTTCTTACTGGTGCTGAGAAGGACAGACAGAAAAATTGAATGTCAAAGAAATGTCAGGAAGACAGACCCTCACCAACCATGCATTCCTTAAGATTACAGTAAAAGAAAGCATATTTAGGCTCCTGGGTTCCACTGAAGGGAAATTCAGGCTATCTTAGGGAAAACAGATATTGCAAGGATATCCTCTGACCAGAATGGGATGGGACTGGAAAGCCAGCATGAGACAAGGCAGCTTCAGGGACACTGGCTTATTTACTGTGGTGTCTCTTTCACGTGGCTGCCCTTACATGTATGAGAAAATGATCCAAGTCTTTTCTATTTTTCTAAGGACTGGCCAATTCTTACTCAGTTCTTAGTCAAAATTCTGGAAGGAATCAGTCTAATTCTTATGTAATTCTTAGCAAACTTATTGGTCTGAGCCCTCTTTACACCAGCCGGATGAAGTAGCACCACATGGATTATATCCTCTTAGTACACTGTATCACCCAGGGCCCAGTTAACTTCAGTAGGGAAAGTTTCATATAAAGAATTATTAGGTATAAAGAATTTTGGAGACCAAGATCGGAGAATTGCTTGAACCTAGCAGTTTTAGACCAGCTTGGGCAACATAGCAAGACCCCCACCTCTACCAAAAAAATAGCTGAGTGTGATAGTGTGCACCTGTAGTTCCAACTACCCAGGAGGCTGAGGCAAGAGGAATGCTTAGGCCCAGGAGCTAAGGCTGAAGGGAGACTGAAGGATTAGGCCACTGCACTCCAGCCTGGGTGAGAAAGTGAGACCCCATCCAGTAAAAGAAAAAACAAACAAAAAAAACAACTATTAACTAGTAACAAGAGATTAATTACTAAATGTAAAGAGGACTCTAAAAAAATGTAGAAATAGTGGATATAGGGATCAGCCACTGCCTCTAGGGCTGAGGTAGGGGGCCCGAGGAAAGAATTTGGAGAGGATGCAGCTGTACCCCTCTAGTTGCTGAGATGCTAAAGGCTGGAGAAGGTGTCAGCAAAAATGACTAGGACACTACCCACCTGGGGGCTACTGAGACTTCCTGGGAAATCTGTGGGATGGTGCTGAAAGTAACTGGGAAGTTGGTTGCTGGGTAGTGAGACTTGCTGGGAAGCTAAGCAAGGGGACCATGGACTTGCTGAGAACTCCCTCCACCTCCCACAATGAGATGCCACTGAAAGTTGCTGGGGAATGATGCCCCTGGCCCCTACACATAGCAGAAATGAGAAGAAAAAAGAAAACACAATAGAAGCAGGAAAAGAAACGCCTGTCTTCTGCAACTCCCTCTACTGGCAAGCTTGACATCGTCTTCTCCACTGGCAAAGAAATGCTGAAAAGATTTAGCTCCAGACACAAAGCAGAATACAGGGTAGATTTGGAGCTAAGAAAGAAACCGGTAACTGGCACATCCAATAATCAGTGGCTGTCCCTGCACAAAGGCCAGCATGACTCATTTCCCAGAGCAGGTGTCAGACACGGAACACTCCATTCAGTAAGAAATGTTCACTGAACGAGGACCTGGACAGGCTGGATGAGCCTGGCACTTAAGAAATATCCAGGACACTCTTGACTTCAAAATGTCTAAGAGGGAGGGGGAGGACAAGAAAACTTCCCTTGCATTTGCTCAGCAGTTTGTTGTCTCACCTGGATAGTATGTTTACTTGGGATGTTGGCAGGGGGTGGGCGTGGGGGGTAGTGTCAGGGCTGATGGAATTTGTTAGGTGGGGGTGTGTGTGTGACTAAGTCCACTGACCTAAGAAATAGAGAATAATTCAGCTTCCAGAATGGCCTGAACAAGGTAAATAAATCAACTGAAGACTGGTGGACTTCGGGTACCTGCAGATCAAGTGAGCTTACACTTGCAATAAATAGTTTTTCCTTGTGATAAAACCTCATAGTTTCTATGCTGTATGAAATTCTTTAAGGTCAGTTGTTTAACAAGTGTAACTTTTTGAAATAAGTTGAAAAGGCATCCTCCCCAACACACACGCCTGTGCAATACATTATGGGTTATGATTACATATTAGAAATTCCTTTGACCTTCAATGCTGAGAAATGGGATATGGGGCTGAGAGCTCAGATCTGTAATCCTAGCACTCTAGGAAGCCGAGGCAGGTGCATTGCTTGAACTCAGTTCAAGACTAGCCTAAGAGCTTGTCTCTACTAAAAAACAGAAAAAAACTAGCCAGGTGTCAGGGCAGGCATCTGTAGCCCCACCTACTTGGGAGGCTGAGGCAAGATTACTTGAAGCTCGGTGCCCATAGCACAGTGGTTAGGGCGCCAGCCATATACACTGAGGTGGCAGACTCGAACTGAACCCTGGGCCAGCTAAACTACAACCGCAACAAAAAGTACCTGGGCATTGTGGTGGGCACCTATAGTTCCAGCTATTTGGGAGGCTGAGGCAAGATAATCACATATGCCTAGGAGTTGGAGGTTGCTGTCAACTGTGACGCCATGGCACTCTACTGAGGGCAATAAAGTGAGACTGTCTCAAAAAAATAAAAAGTAGGTGGGCTAGGCCGTGGCTCATGCCTGTAATCCCAGCACTCTGGAAGGCAGTTTGGTGGACTGCCTGCTTGAGTTCAGGAGTTCAAGACCAGCCTGCACAAGAGTGAGACCTCATCTCTTTAAAAAAAATTAAAATAAATAGCTGGGTGTGGCAGGCACCTGTAGTCCCAGCTATTCTGTAAACTGAGGCGTGAAGATCATTTGAACCCAAGAGTTTGAGGTTGCTGTGAGCTATGACAATGCCATGGCACTCAACTTCAGGGTAAGAGACTGTCTTTAAAAAAAAAAAAAAAAGTAAAAGAAAATTCTATGAAATCTTCACCTGTTTGAAAAAATTTTAAATTTCTACATTTTACCTAAACTATGCCATTAACATTTCAAGAGGAACTATATTCAAAGGAGTAGCACCATAATTTAGGTATGTTAAAAACAGATTTTCAATGCATGATAAATCTGGCTCTAATTACAAATTAAAAGAACCTTCTACTAAAAAAAAAAAAAAAAAAGCATACCAATTTTAGAGCAATTCCTTCATTTAATGAGATTTTTCTAAAATGGAGTTAGGTACAAATGTGAAGGCCACAAAAGGAGAACTTTGGAAAATGTGCTCCATTTAACACTTTTGCAAGGTGGCTTTTGAGTTGCCCAGGAGTTGGCCAATAGGACCGGTAAGACGAAACATCGGTGTGTATTAGTAAGATCACTGTCAGGAATACCTACCTGCCCTACCTCTGACAGAACATCACCTTGGGCCTCTATTTTGTGTTCTAAAAGCAATCGGATTATCTTACAAAATTTCCTTCAAATTCAGATTTAAATAATACTAAATATATGGTCCAAGTGAAAAGTACCCCAATAAGCACCTTTGATGCAGAAAAAACTAATCACACAATCAAAAGATCACCCTAATGACACCTCATTGACAAAGGAAGTTGCCATCATCAAGTATTCTAGTAAGAATTACTATCACACATCTAATTCCAGTCTACAAGATTCTTTAATATTCACTCATCATCTGGGTGCTAAGAGATCCCTCTATGGAAAATGACTCTATTGACAGTTTATCAATTTCCACAATAAAAATACCTTTTAAAAATGTTTTAACAAATGGGGGGTTAAAGCCAACACCCAGGATAAAGGATTTAATCCAGTATTTATTTGACACTCATGATGGTTCTCCGTAATCAGAATACAAGTCATAAGAACAATCTCTATCAAATAATTTGCTGATCGTCTTAAATAATGCAGCATAGCATTAATACTCTGTTCTATATTAAGTTTAAAAACTCAAACAGCAATCTTCATTATCAATAAAAAAAGTTTTGGATTTTAAAAAGGACACTATATCAAGCTGTTTCATAATTTAAGTATTTCCCATTTATAAAAATGCTTTGGAAGCTTGAGGCTTGAATCTGTTTTTCTATTCATCTGCCCCACCCTCTCCCAATTACATGTTAGTATAGACTTCTGCAAGAATGCTAGACTTTATAGACATTAATTTTTTCTTTAATATAGTACTTTAAAAATCTGAGAAAGAATTCAAGAAAAAAAGGATTACATGTCATGTATTTTTTTCAAATAAAAAAGGAAAACTAAGTGAATAAATTTTAGGCATACTAACAGTGTCCCTTTGAGGTAGAATGCTAAAAGGACTTTTGATCAAATCACAGCCTAATTTAAACCTCTGCATCAGAAACTAACTTCTCATAAATTCTCTAAAGGTTAACTGTGGAGAATATTAAGTATAACATATTAACAACAGCCTTCCAAGATAATATACAGTGGACAAGAATGTTAATCCTACAACTGCTGCCTTCATGTACACTGACAGCACATAATTCTCCTAAAATAGACATCCAAAATCCATTCTCAAAGTCTTTAGCATTCTATTACGAAAAGCACAGCCATGCTAACTTCAGTACACAAACCATAATCCCACACCTACAAACAAAAATAGAATTAGTGGCAGTTTATTGCCTTATACAAATTTAACCAACATGGCAATCATGCCAAAGGAATTAAAACATTTTAGGACATATGTACAGACTGTACATTTCAAAAACAATTAAACAATAAAAATGCAAGAACAATCTGTGCATCATGTATCAAACTCAACAACTGGGTGAAAACATCAATGCAATAAATGGGATTACAAAGGCACTTCCCTACACAAAAGAGGAAATGAAACCGCGGTCTACAGGGAGCTTGAAGGGTGCAGAACTACAGCACAATCTCAATTTGGGGGGAAAAAAAAAGATTAAATCAAACATGTATAGGAGTCAATGTGATCCACTTTTACAAAAAATTTTTCACACAGTCTCATCTTTGTTCTTCTGTTTTTCTTGGCTCTCTCCTTCTATGCTTTGGCTCCTTCGACGATCACGTTTGTCTGACTGGTCCTTGCTATCACCGTGATCTCGTTTATGGGAACGTTCTTTACTTCCACTACGCTTCCTAGATTTCTCTTTGCTGGGGCTATGTTCTCGTTTTTTGGGTTTTTCAGCACTGTCAGTTCTTCCTTGACTGCCACTTCTACTTCGTTTGCTTGATTTTTCTTTACTTTCATTTTTATGTTTACTTGACTTCTCTTTGCTCCTGCTCCTACTTCGCTTCCCTGCATTTCTGCTTCTACTTCTGCTTCTGTGTTTCCTTTCTCTGCTTCTACTTCTACTGTGCTTTTTCTCTTTCTTGGAATCCTTTTTGTCCTCTCTATGCCGCCTATCATCTTTGTCTTCTTTATGTTTCTTCTCTTCTACCTCGCCCCTATTTCTCTGTTCCTTGGATCTTTCTCTTGATCTTTCCCTCTCCTTTTCTCGGTCATTACCTCTTTCCTTATCATAGTCACGATCTCGTCTTCTGCCTCTCTCATTTTCTTTTTCCCTGTCCCTATCCCTGTCTCTTCTATCTCCTTTCCTATCACGGCTTCGACTGCGACTCCTATGCCTTTCCCTACTTCTGCTATGCCTGCGTTCTAACCCTCGATCAATACTTCGAGATCTTCTCCTTTCTTTCTCTCTTTCTTTGGCTTCACGCTCTAGTCGCTGGCGTTCTTTCTCTCTTTCTAGTTCTCTGTCAAAGCTAGAAGATCCATGGCCCTCCCGATGATGACTCCTACTTCTTGATCTTCTTGGTGACCTCCGAGGACTCAGGGATCTCCTTGGAGACCTAAGAAACGTGGAGGAAAGAAGAAAATGTCAACAAATAAAACATAAAAATTTTTACCATTTTTCATAACAAAAACTTAAATTTTTTCTTGTATTTCAATTTAAAATATATATATATTTTTGAGACTGGGTTTTGCTTTGTTGCCTGGGCTAGAGTACACTGGCATCGTCCCAGCTCAGTGCAACCTCAGCTGCTGGATTCAAACAATCCTCCTGCCTTGGTCTCTCAAAGTGCTAGGATAATAGAGCGAGCCTCCATACACAGCCTATAGTAAAACTTCCGTTAGCATTATTATTTAGGTCTCTAGCTGACACAAACATCAAGAGTAACTAAAGCAAAAAATTGGTCCTCATTTACAGATACAAATTTTTTTGAAAATGCCCTCAAAGAAAATGACCTTTGAGGGGTAAAAAGTGACAAACTAATAAACTAAATAGTATATACAGAATTTTCCTAAGAACTTGCCATTGATTTCTTAGAGCCATTAAGTTTGTAGAAAGCACATTTAAAAAATAACCATAATTCAAGAGTTACACTACCGTGAACGTCTGCGTTCAACGTGTCTGTCCATTTCCTCAGCACCTTCTTTCCCATCTTTCTTGATTTTTCTGGGTCGGGTTTTAATCTGTTGATCAATATTCTTCTGAACTGGAACTGGAATTCTTGGAAACAAGGTAGAAAACCACTCCAGTTTTGTAAGAAAAGACCGTAGCATTTCTCCAATGGTCATTACACAGCCTCCACCAGCCTTCACATCTAGGTCCTACAGAAACACAAAAGATGCCCTAGTCGTCAAAAAAAAAGTATTTCAATATCTGTATGAATACTACAAAAATATTACCATCTTTGGAATCTCAAGTACAAAAAAATTCTAACAAAAAAATTTTAATTTTGGTATCCTAATCTGGCAATGAATGATACAGAGAAATATTTGGGCTTAGTGTGTGCATGCAGGTGAGAACAAACCCTGCAGCCTCATGGGCATCAAGGGAACTGATCTCAGTTAACAATACGAAAAAGCCCCTTAAAATTCTAAACTATGTGGAACAACTGAGTTAAATTTACATTCCACACACCTACTAAGTATGTATTTATTTCCGTGCATATTTGCACACATCATTCCTAGCACCTTAACTTAACCTAGCTACACATAAACTACTTTAGACAATTCCTATCTAAAGGCTATGTTTTAACAGCTCTAATATAAAATGAAGCCCTGATCAAACTGGAAGCAATAGCAAACCAACTGCCATGAAGCAGTGAGGTTTTCTAATTTAGAGTTATGTAGAAAATAAATAAATGAACAAATAATTGGAAACGCATAATCCATGATGACCATTGTCTCTGAAAAGGGTCATTACCGCATGAAGGCCTTCTTGCTATGCCCTCTCACAGCTCAGGACATGTTAGTCAGCTATTGTCAGTCCCAAACCTATAGTGCAAGCACACAAGGAAAGTGAGATTTGTTATCTAAACAGGAAAACAAGAGCTAAAGGTAAAACTGCTTGCACTCACACACATTTAAGTGTTCAGATATACAGTATTTCCAAATATAATCGCTGCAGATATCTAAGGAAGAAAACAATAAGTTAGCTTAAATAGAGGACCTCAGGTTTGAAAACATAATAAAAAGAGATTAAACAGAGGCATTCAGAAACAAACCTAATACAACACCAATTATGAAGAGGGACATGCTTTTTTTAAAGATAAAGAAAAGTGCTTCAGTCTGAAAAACTTTCATCTAAACAGAAAAAAACCTTTAAAGACTGTGATTTAAAATACTTTTCGCTTTTTCTGAGTTGTTAAATAGCTCAGGTAACAGGCCAAGAAAGAAAAAAAGAGTAGAGAAAAATTAAAATTCTCCATGTATAAATGAATGAGGTGTTTTTAAGGTATAAATATAATCACAAAAATACAATATATTTCCATTAGAACCATCCTTTAATACAATAAATTCTTTGGGTGAATCTTTAAAACAGATTACTGAAACACAGCAATCTGAACCTTAAAATATAAAGTAGTGGTGGGGGTAGATATGTGAACAACACAGTCTGCTGTTAAGTACATTTTGAGGTCATGGACTACTGCTTTATGTAACCAAATGAATATGTATCTGACTCAGTAATTTCCCAAAGTAACCAAGTTTTGTATTTTGGAGCACTCTGAATTTCCAGATTATAAACACACAATTTGTAATTTAAGAAAAATATTTTAAAAATATGGATAGTGTAGTACGAGCCAGAAAACTAGAATTAAAATTTCTTGTGTCACCATCAACAAGTCATCCAAATTCTCAACCTATTTATGTCACACCCAGCTTTTTAATTCTGCACTTCTATACAAGTGGAATATTGATATTTGGAAGAAGTTAGAGGATGAAGAACTGAAAAGTTCCAGAAGAAAAACTACAATTAGTATTCTAGGTGCATGTCTTTTATCATTGATCTCGAGTATAGCTCATCTTAAAAAGTAACTACCATTAGTATAATTCAGGATCAATATAATAACATAATTAAGAGAAAATTTCTACAGCTGTCAAAACACACAATATAAAAACAAGAAAATAAAACTCTAAAATTTAACCTAATATATATGTAAAAGCCACTAAGTCTTAATAAAAAGGACATTCATTCTAAAAGTATTTCACTATAAGTTTAAATACAGAAAATTGTGGAAGACATCGAACCTTCAGTAAATAAAAGATACTAAAAACGTAAGAGTAATTAGAAGAAAACTAATTATTACCCTTGTTGACATACCTCTTCATCGTCAAGGAAGGATTCAAACCAGTCCCATAGATCTGTAGGGGGCTGTGTGTATCTACAATTACAAAAGACTTAGTAAACTCATGTGAATTAAAGAGAGATTTTCACTGGAAATATAAATAAATGTATGCTCACCTTATATACATAAATCCAAGAGCTCTAATATATGGAGAGTCTGTGTGTGTTATAAGACCCATCACTTGCTTTCGAGTTAACTTCAGAGTAAATAATTTGTATAACAGACAAAAAGCTGTAGACACAATTCCTCCTGTTCCAACACCTCGAACCTTTACAGGAAACAAGAGTTAAGAAAAAGTAGTAAAACTATTTAACAGATATCTAACACTAATTGATCAATCCTGTTAGGTATCAATAACAAGCCACCCCTAAAATTAAAAACAGAGTATAAAAAAATAATACTTCTTCTAACTCTATTCACTGGACACTTACATTTACATTAGAAAAAATGTTTAAGAGCTAGCTACAAATTGTCTTAAAATGTGTAATTGACAGGTAGACCTTTCATTTTCTAAATATAAACTTAGTTATCAGAAAAACTAAAAAAATTCACGTACTTCTACTTACCCCTCCGCACATCCCTGTCTGGCCCGCCGTTTTCCGGCTTCCTTTTTCCCAAGGTTCAACATGTGTGACCTGAAAATAGAAAAGAGGATCACAACAGACATTCATACTTTGAATTTGTTTAAAAGTCTGACTAAAGTAAGCCCAAGTCTGTAATAGAGCAGCTCTTCCAAAATTATTTTTGGCATTACATATATATTATGTTTACTAACATTATGTAAACCATCTTTGCAAAAACTGCTTAGACATGTAAAGATCATCAATAAAGCTACTAGGGTTGAACAAAACCTTAACAGCTGTACAGAACTGAAATCCAATTTGACTAACTTTATAGAGAGCTAATACCTATTTGTGGGAATCAGGAAATTTTGATAGTCTCATTTATTTGCAAAAGCAATTTGATAATGGGCAGTGCCTGTGGCTCAAAGGAGCAGGGCGCCGGCCCTATATGCTGGAGGTGGCGGGTTCAAACCCAGCCCCAGCCAAAAACTGCAAAAACAAAACAACAACAATTTGATAATACTCCAACTTTGTATCTTCTTATGAGTTGCTTAAAAAATAAAAACTTATATTCTAAAAAGAATAAGTCTCCAAAGTAAAAAATATTAATGAAGTACAAGTATTTATTTGAAAAAAATCCTTAAAATACCAATTTTAATTAAAACTCCAATTTTAATTTAAAATATACATATAAAATAAAGGAAAATAACTTAAAGAAATGTGTTAAAACAGTAATAAGTTATTTCTGGTGCAAAATTGCAGAACTTTTTTTATTTGTACATTTTTTTCACCAAGATCAAATTTATTCCTGATTAAAGATGAAATCAGAGGCCACACTTACACAGAATGGTATTCATTTTCTGCCTAAATACTAGTATGTGAACCAATCTAATTATTTTTCCAGAATATAAACTGTTTCAAAAACTAAAGTAATTAATAGTCATGAGTATATACTAAGTATACTACTAGCCAAGACGATACAGTATCATCTTTGCTAAGGGGAGTACCCTGCAAAACCATTCTTTACCTAAAAATAGCCAAAAAATAAGAATTTAAGCTCTACAACAGACCCCAAGATCTTTCAGAAAGATAAGACCTAAAACAAAAAATTCCTTCTTTCAATCTATGTTTTTCTGAAACGCTATTTCCAACCCACACATGGTTAACATTTTACAGTCTTGAAAAATGGCTTCAGACAAAAGCATGTATTTAAATTTAAGCACTATGCTATTTTGCTCATCAACTCCTGCAATACTTTACTGTTTCCTTCCTCCCCAGTCCTCAGCTTGCTGTGTAAATGATGTTTCAATTCCTAAAAGTCGAATACCAATGGGTGAGAGTCGGGGACGTCAGGGACTAATTCCACTGTTGGTTTGTTTTGTCCTGTTCTGTTGTCCCATTTAAACGAATGTACAAAAAAAAAACCCTTCAGTGTCCAGTGTAGTCAGTCCCTGACCTGACCCCCCCCACCCTGCATTGGTATGCGAAAGGCTAACCAAAGGGGCAGATGCAACACAAAATTAGATTACAAAGCTGGAAGTCTACATATTTTAACAATTACTTGATTCAAATGTCTTAATAACAAAATCTGAGTCTTTAATTTTGCAACTTAATTTAAAAATGCAATAATTCCTGGTAGAGTCTTAAGTTGTCTCAAAACCACATTTGAAATTTTTAAGCAAGCTTTTCTCTACGTCAACATTTGGCATATATTATAAAACAGAACCTGCCACAAAAAGAATAGGCACTCAATTTTCAACTGTTTAAAGTTTAATGCATAAAGCTAATGGGTAAGTATTATTCGCCATGCTGTATCCATGCTGAAAAGGTCTTAACCTTTTAAAAGCCAAAAAACCCTAGTTTGTAGATTAGACCTACTATAGACTCTTGAAAGGGGATGTCAAATTTATCTCTGTACTTTATATAACCAAAGTTGAACTGTATTACTCAAGATTTATTTTCTATAAAAAGCATCTGTATCTTAAAAAATATACTTCAATATTTTAATCATTCAATTGGGGGAGGAGTGGACAAAACAAGAGAAATGTCCTTTTGGGAAAATCTCTAACACATATATTCAGAAGACAGAAAATACTTTATGTGGTCTCCCAAGTTTTTTAAGAGTCTACATAGACAAACAAATCATATGATCCTCTATTCAAACTATTTAAATCTACTAAGGATATCATTAATAGTCTTTAAAATATATATTAACCTTCGCAGGCCTGGAAGATATTTTTAAAACTACATAATTTGCAAGGAAGTAGAAAAAGCCTATCCAGTTGGTGAATAAAAGACCAAAACCACTGGCCAAAAAAAGAAAAAAAGAGAGGGGGAGGGAAAAAAAGAAAACACCGAAATCTAATTACCCATTCATTTAACCAGGGAAATGCATTTTATGGCGATTGAGCATGATTAATAGTGCATACCTCTACCTGCGACCCTGGGCTGCTCCGAGCCTCGCTGCAAGACTGAGTCAATCCTGCTAACGAAACAAGAACTGAGACAAGAGTGCAGTGAGGAGGCGCCAGGTGAGCTCCCCAGCACAGCCAAGCCAACACCGACCCTGCCGCAGAAGCCCAGGGCCCAGATAATTCTAAATAGCCCAATGCACAGGTGGCTGAGACCTTTTTATTCCTGACTTCCTGCTGGGAAAATTTCCAGGCCTTCTGTACACCTTTTGAACTGGCACCTCTCCACCCTCAACCCTCCCATCATACCCAACACACACGCAAGGAGAATTTCCCCGGTCTGGATCGGATAGTGAGTACCAACAGCACGAGGCCAACACTGAAGACATTACACGCCCTGGCCCGGGGTGAGCGGAAGAGGCACCAAGTTGGTGCCGAGTAGAGTAGATCCACATCAAAAGGAATAATTTTAACGCTGTAAACTGGAGAGGCTTCTGTGACAATTTTCTCCTCTCCCCAACCCCACTTCGCCCAAGGGTGAGCAGGAGGTTGGGAGAAGAGAGAGATTAATAGTGGCGGGCTCTCTGGGCCCTAAAAATCTGAAAAGGAAACGAGAAGGCGGCCCCAGTGCGACCCCTCCCTGACCGGCTACAGGCCACAGCTCCCCCGCTCCGCCACCTCCCACCCACAGATCCTCAGATCTCGGGGGCCGCCTCCGCCCGTTTCCTCCATGCCCGGCCTGGCTAACTTGCCCCCAAGCCTGGAGGCTCCGTACCTTAAAGTAGATCTCGTCCACCACCTCGTGGTAGGTTTTGAGCTCGTAGAGCTGCACTTTAAAGTAAGGCGACGACAGGATGTTGGTCAGAATCATGGGGTTCAGGTTCATGGTCTTCTCGTTGCCCCACAGTGGCAGGACATTGCCCTGCTTGCCCGAGACCGCCGGCTTGGTGGCGCCGCCGCCGCCGCCGCCGCACTGCTGTTGCTGCTGAGCCGCGGCAGCGGCCGCCTGGTGCTGCGGCTGCGAGTTGCCTGTCAGCGCGGGGCTGTTGTTAGCCATGTTGCGGCGGAAGGAAGGAGGGAGGGAGAAGGGAGGAGGGAGGGGGCCAAGCTCGATCTCGCTCTTCGGGACAACGGTCCGGGACCCTACTCCATGGAACGCCGTCGGGAGAGGGGGCCGCCTCGCAGTGCCCCAGCCAGCTGAGGGAAAGCAAAGGGGATGCCGACAAATGAACCTGGGGTCGAGAGCAGACGCTGAGAAGCGGCCCGCGAGATCTCCAGGAAGAAGGCGAGCCGGCGGCCAGAGAGCGCGATCTCTTCCGCCAACTGCCCCTGGGAACAAGATGGCGGGCCTGGCGGATGTGATGCCACACGCCCCAGAGTTCTAAGCGACGCGGGCGGCCAATCACAGACGCCCAGGTGGGCAGGAGGTTCCTCTTCCTGGTTGCGTACGTTCTCTGCGAGTAGTGGTTTCTGCGGTGTCCGGCTGTGCTTGCCTCTTCGAGGATTTCCCCCGAGAATTAGGGCTGAGGAGGGGGTTGTAGGCCCAATCCCTATGTTTTAGCATTTGTAATGATTTCTCTTATCGAGAGTAGGCCAGAAAAGTGTTCGCATGACTGCGATGTGCTTTCTAATTCGCGACTGATTGCTGCAGAGTATCCGAGAGGCTTTCCTGGATTCTCTGTTTTAAGATGCCCTGGAAAGGACAGTGGTAGGGGTACCCCACTTCTCCATGTAGTTCGTATAAAAGAGCTTTCTGTTTTTCTCTGGTCTCTGGTGTTCCACTGGAGGTCTTAAAGTTTGAGCTTAAATCAGTTCAACTATAAGATTGGGATAATGTATTGGCTGTGCATTAAAAGGGCTCCTATACCGGTAGCACCTAGTAGAATCTTCCAGGCATCTGCTAGGTGTCTGTACTTTCCTTGCTACTGGAGATCTTTAAATTCTACGGGTGCATTCTGGCACTGTGAATGGGGGTGGGGGATTATTCTGCCCTCTCCTAACTGATAAGTTAGGCAAGATTCTTTGTGTTTGGGAGTTAAGAGAAGGCAGCAGAGGGCACAGAAGTTTCTACAGGTGGGATTGGGCTGGGCATATGTAGAAGTAGGGAAGCTCAGGCTTACTGGTGAATAAACAGTCCAGTTTACAGGTGCCAGGAGATACACTATGGGGGAGTAATGGCTGTTAAGTGCCTGGAATACTAAGATGAAACATTAGGAATTTAATGATATTTAAATTGGAGTACATGCATGACCCCAGAGTCTACTTTAAGATGTTAATGTTGCTAATATTTTCTTGCTTCAATCTGTTGCTGCTGCTTTTTTTTTTTTTTTTTAGAGACAGAGTCTCACTTTATCGCCGTTGGTAGAGTGCTGTGGCATCACAGCTCACAGCAACCTTCAACCTCTGGGCTTAGGCGATTCTCTTGCCTCAGCCTCCCAAGTAGCTGGGACTACAGGCGCCCGCCACATTGCCCAGCCAATTTTAGAGACGAGGTCTCTCTGTGGCTCAGGCTGGTCTTGAACCCATTAGCTCAGGCAATCCACCGCCTCCGAAGCGCTAGGATTACAGGTGTGAGCCACTACACCCAGCCTTCTTCAATCAGTTCTTAACAGAGATTGCCATACTCATTCCAAAAGTGCTTCACTACCCTACTCAAAACCCTTGGGATGGTCCACTCCCTGACATCCTAATTATCAAAATTCAATAACATTTTTTGTTCTCCATCCTACTTGATTTCTCTCTCTCTCTCTTTTTTTTTGAGACAGATCCTCAATATGTCCACCTGGGTAGAGTGCTGTGGCATCACAGCTCACAGCAACCTCCAACTCCTGGGCTCAAGCAAGTCTCCTGCCTCCATCTCCCAAGTAGCTGAGACCACACCGGCTGGCCACAACCCCTGGCTGTTCTTTGGTTGCAGCCGGCATTGTTTTGGCACCTGGGCTGGATTCGAACCCTCCACCTTAGGTGTATGTGGCTGGAGCCTTAGCCCCTTGAGCCACAGGCACCGAGCCCTACTTGATTTCTCGTTGTGGCTCACTCACTCTCTCCTAGACTTTTGGGTTAGGGAGTTTGAGGGTGGCAACCTTAATTTTAATGGTACATATGCAGAGACAGAAACTGAGAGAATATCCACACCTGGATGAAGATGAACCAGGAGAGAGAAAACAAGCAGAAAAATTTAAGAGGCAAACCAAGAGATTGGATATGACAGAATGCAAGGAAAGAACGTTAAGTGCTAGCCTGAGGAAAAGTGAGACCCATCTCTATTAAAAATGGAAAGCTAGCCAAGTGTCTTGGCAGGTGCTGGTAGCTGCAGTTACTGGGGAAGTTGAGGCAAGAGGATCGCTTGAGCCCAAGAGTTTGAGGTTGCTGTGAGCTACGATGATGCCAGAACACTCTACCCACGGCAACAGAGTGAGACTCTGTCTCAAAAATAAATAAATAAATAAAATAAAAGTGAATAAATTGATAAATCTTTAGAGCTATACAGTATTTACATAAGTGATCAACCTGTCTAGTTGCTTTATTTTACATTAGAAGAGAACTAAAACTGAAAGAATTGGTTTTTACTGTGGGTGAGGAATTCTTGTAACCCTAATTGGTTGTTACTTCCTAGTAGATTTTGTTTTGTTTTTCTATATAGTAGTTTATACTAACTTAATTCCCAAGGAATACTAATGATCCTAACTTCTCTCTCTCTCTTTTTTTTTTTTTTTTGGACACAGAGTCTTACTATGTGTAAGACTGCCCTCAGTAGAGGGCTGTGGCATCACAGCTCACAGTAACTTCCAACTCTTGGGCTTAAGCGATTTTCTTGCCTCAGCCTCCCAAGTTGCTGGGACTACAGGCACCTGTCACAACACCAGGCTATTTTTAGCTGGCCCAGGCTGGGTTGGAACCCACCAGCCTCAGTGTATGTGGCTGGGCCATAACCACTGAGCTACGGGTGCCAAGCCGATCCTAACCTTTTTTTTTTTTTTTTGAGACAGAGCCTCAAGCTGTCCCCCTGGGTAGAGTGCCTTAGCGTCAGAGCTCATAGCAACCTCCAACTCCTGGGCTCAAGCAAGTCTCCTGCCTCAGCCTCCCAAGTAGCTGGGACCACAGGCGCCCGCCACAGTGCCCATCTATTTTTTGGTTGCAGCCGTCATTGTTTTGGTGGGCCTGGGCTGAATTCGAACCTGCCACCTTAGGTGTACGTGGCTGGTGCCTTAGCCACTTGAGCCACAGGCGCCGAGCCCAATCCTAACCTTTCTTAAATGAATTATTCATTACCAGGTACAGTGGAGCGTGCCTGTAGTCCCAGCTACTCGGGAGGCTGACAGGATTGCTTGAGTCCAGGAGTTCTGGGCTGTAGTGCACTATGCCAATTCAGTGTCCATACTAATTGCAGCATTACTATGGTGACCTCCCAGGAGTGAGGGGCCACCAGGTTACCTAAGGAGGGGTGAACCAGCCCAGGTCAGAAACGGAGCAGGTCAAAGCTCCCGTGCTGATCAGTAGTGGGATCTCATCTGTGAATAGCCACTACACTCCAGCCTCAGCGACTTAGTGAGACCCCCTCTCTTAAAAAAAAAAAAAAAAAAAAAAGATGAATTATTCATTGAAAAAAACTTACTTGAACCCAGTTCTTATTTCCTGTGGGTTTTTTTTTTGCTTTGGTAACAATGGTTTATTAACTTTACATGCTGACACCCTACTTGCCAAATCTTAGAGAATTTTTAAACATTCCTCAGACTTATCTTTATCCATAGATTGTGGATGATAATAAGCTCAGCACAAAGGTTGAAGTTTGATATCTAGGTCTCAGTAACATCAAACTCAGGGGTCCACATATTAGGATAAAGTGTTTAACATACTCAGTAAATCCCTACAACAGCCTAAAGAGAGTACTATTATCCCCATTTAAAAAAAAAACACTTTATTCAGCTATAATTGAGGAACACTGCACACAGGTAGAGCTTTATAAAGTTTGGTTTGATTAGTTCTGACATGTGCACACCCATTAAGCCATCACCACAATCAAGATAACAATCATCCATCATCCAGCAAAGTTTTCTCTGTGCCCTTTTGTGCCCAGCCCATCTCTCCTTCTAACTTCATCCCTGGGCAACCACTTTCTGTCAATATAGATTAGCCTGCATTTTCTTGAATTTAAATAAATGGAATCACGTATTAATTTGTTATTTATGTATCAAGAGAAACTTCCTTAGCCGACATATTCATAGCTCGGGAACAGAGGTCAGTGACAAACTTCTATGGATGGGCCAGACATGGTGGCTCATGCCTGTAACCTTAGCACTCTGGGAGGCCGAGTTGGGTGAATTGCCTGAGCTCGTGGGTTCAAGACCAGCCAGAGTAAGACTGAGACCCCATCTCTAAAAAAAAAAGCTGGGTATTGTGGCAGGCGACTATTGCCCTAGCTACTCAGGAGGCTGAGGCAAGAGAATCACTTAAGCCCGAGAGTTTGAGGTTGCTGTGAGCTATGATGCCAGAGCACTCTACCTAGGGTGACAAACTGATCTCTGTCTCAAAAAACAAAACAAAACAACAAAAAAACTTCTACGGAGGGCAATTCAACCCAAAGAAATTATATTCCAAAATCAACTTTGTTCTCTGAAAGAGACCAGCCATCATCTCAAAATCTTTCATGGAGTCATAATTTCTGTAGAAATCTGTATGCCTTTCTTGGTTCAGGGACAGCAAACTTAGAGCAGCAACCCTCAGGAATACAAATAATGCTATCATAATATAAAGTCACAGAGGCCTGGCCAGAGGGCCACACGTGGGGGCTTCAGCAAAGTCATGGTAATTACTATTTTTTTTTTTTTTGAGACAGAGTATCTCTTTGTTATACTTGGTAGAGTGTCATGGTGTCACAGCTCACAGCAACCTCCAACCCTTGGGCCCAAATGAACCCCCTTGCCTCAACCTCCCTAATAGATGGGACTACAGGCCAGTGTCCTATTTTATTTGTGAGTCTTACATTTTATATTTTCAGAACTACCAGCCCTAAAGGAGACTACAACAATATCTTCCTCTGTTTCTAAAAGTTTATAGTTTGGGATTTTACATTTAGGTCTGTGATTCATTTTGGAGTTAATTTTTGCCTGTGGCATGAAATGGGGTTGACGTTCATTTTTTTCCCCCAAACAAATGTTCAGTTGATCCAACACCATTTGTTGAAAAGAACTTTCACTTATAGCTTTCATAGGAAAGCTACAACCCAATTATAGCCCAAGAATATGGGGAAAGGGGAGAGGGAAGAGAGAGGAGGGGGGAGGATGGGTGGAGGGAGGGTGATTGGTGGGATCATGCCTATGGTTCATCTTATAAGGGTACATG